GAAAATTATGTAATCAATGACTCACCCTCATGTCGTCCCAAGCCCGTAAGACCTGTGTTCATTTTCGAAAAACACATTCAGATATTTTAGATTTAGTCCGGGAGCTTTTTGACCCTCCATTGAAAATGTCTAGGGGCGTCATGATTCTCCAAATCCTTGATTCGATTACATTTTCGAATCAAGGTTACTGTTCGATTCGATTCTCGATTTTTATCAATCGGCCCATCAGGATGCTCTCTGTTTTGCATGCGCTACATGACGCACACACGCAAGGTCTCTCAAAGTCTTCCGCGAGACTTGGGATGTCAGCAAACTGTGTTTTTTTGAGATTGTGAATTAATTTTAATCCACCCTTATGCGAAACACTGTCCTTATCCAAAAAGGAAATAAAGACACCATCAAAGTAGTCCATGTGACATTAGTGGGTTAGTTAGAATGTTTTGAAGCATCGAAAATACATTTTGGTCCATAAACAAAAACTACGACTTTATTCAGCATTGTATTACCTTCTGGTTCTGATGTCAAGCTGCGTTCAGTGACACTGATAGCGTAAGACGCTGCTAACGTGTATCTGGTGCGCCCAAGCTTCGTTTACAGTCTGAGGGAGACGCACGCTGTAAAAAAAAAACAATCTTCGCAAACCTTTCCAAGGATTTCGACACAGAGGAAGACCATATTTATTTGAACCCGAATACACAGACACACCAGAACACGTCAGCAGCGTCTTATGCCAACAGCGTCACAGAACGCGGCTTGACAACAGAACCGGAAGACAATACAATGCTAAATAAAGTCGTAGTTTTTGTTATTTTTGGACCAAAATGTATTTTCGATGCTTCAATCTAACCCACTGATGTCACATGGACTACTTTGTTGATGTCTTTATTTCCTTTCAGGACAAGGACAGTATATCATACATATATTTCCAATGGAGGGACAGAAAGCTCTCGGACTACATCTAAACATCTTAAACTGTGTTCCGAAGATGAACGGAGGTCTTACGGGCTTGGGACGACATGAAGGTGAGTTTTCATTTTTGGGTGAACTAACCCTTTAACTATTAACTAGTTCAAAAAATTAAAAAAATCAGACTGATCTACATCTCAGCAGGTTTTAGATTACTATCTCTCTGGATGGGAAGATTATCAGTGAATAATGAATTCAAAATCATATGCCTAGCAGATTTTAAAAACCATATAACTTGTAGTATAGAGCACACAACAACTTTTTTATTTCCAACTGAGCTGTGGTCACTGATATTCAAGAAAATTCTTCAAAAAAAAAAGTCATATCTGGGGGCTCTGTACAGAAGAAAGTCCTACAGGTTTGGAAATAACATGAGGGTGAGTAAATGATGGCAGAACTCACATTTTCAGGTCAACTATCCCTTTAACACAGAACTGCAGCACCGCCAGACGTAAATCTGACTTAACTGTTGGCACAAGCACATATTGCAGCACAGCAGCAGAGGAAAGGATGGCCTACATCACAGGAAGATGAAAAAAGAGGGGGAAACCCCTACACATCGACCACAGTCACAACACGTTTACAACATACTGCAGGACAAAAACCACAAACTGCTCTCTTCACTCAAATATTTCTTTAATTACCCAAGTTGATGAACAAGAATGCTGCTGATTGCGCTATATTAAGGACAACATTCTTTCAACAAAGAAGCTGCAGATAAAAACGCACAGAATTGGATTGGATTTGTTTCATTAAAATGTTTATCTTTGATGGTCATGGCACAAGGCTATCAGTAAATCACACTGTCTCTACTCTTGCTGGGGGGGGGGGGGGGGGGGGGGCTGATATCTGATAACCAAGGAACTTGAAATCCAGCATTTTGGGTTGCCAAACAATTCTTCATTAGCAAATCTTTCAACAAATTTTAAGGAGTCATGTGGGAAACTGAGAGACACTGTAGAGGTGAATGAACTCTGGGGGACAAACAGGATGGGACTTGATGTAAACCAATTTGGTCATCAGTTAAAACTTTACCTTTAATTAGACCCTGATGACTTCCAGAATTCCAGAGGAAATAATCAGTCGAAACAATGACAGTGGAATATGTCCCTGTCCACTAATTGTCCTAAACAATACCCTGTCCAAATACAGAGGTCCAAAATAAGGCAGAGTCCAATTGCCTCTTTTCTAAATACAAATAAAGGCAGGTCAGTGAGGGAGAACCTGGTGCAGAAAAAGCTCTCTCATGGGGACTATACAAGCTGTTTACATGCAGAAATATCTCTAATATGCCAAGTAAGATTGTTGATCTCATTAGTATCAGTAATGTTATGCTGGGCAACTGGAAGAGTAGGCAATCTCCAAAATCAAGCAAGTCACATATTTGAAACCAAAGTGGTTACAGCATGCTGGTAACTTAGCTACTGACAGCTCTCCTTGAGCATGCAAGCGTATTCCTAGTATGATTCTTCCTCTTTATTAAATGACGTGTCCGCATACATGAAGGCATTACATCTCTAATAACTGAAAACTACGCATTCTCAGCTAGCCTAGCTTTATGTGCATTTAGCATTCAGGTGGCTCTTAACAGCTCCTTTGGTTGAAAAAGTTACCAAAATGCGGATCATGTGGTTGTTTCAACCTCTTTGTGCATTAAACTAAAGAACTTACGTGGTGTTAATGTTTTCTTTTGGTTTAGCATGCAAGCTAACCATAATAACTAAGCTTTGCTTACTAATTCTGTGTGGAAGAGTGAAATATGTTACTATATGAAGTTTAGCAGGTTCTAATAACCAACATTAAAGATAAACAGTCAAGGACTGTAGTGGTTTTAATACACAAGGCATAACGTTAACTGTAAATGTAGCTAATTCAGCAGCTCGCCATGGCAGATTAGCAAGCCAAGCAAAAAAGGAGAAAAAATGCCCTACCTGAGTCAAGTTTACTGTTCCACTCTTCTCTTCTTGCTCATAAAACGAGCCAAAATCCAAGCCAGGGACTTCTGATATTTGCTTAGCCGAGCAAATTCGCTTGCACTTTTCTTTCGTAGTGTTATTGAGTTAAAAAAAAAGCCTCTGTGCGTCCCAGGTTCACACACACATACACACATACAAACACATATATGACGCGCTAGCAGGCTGCTAGTACTTTTACGTTACACCATCCGTCCTACATTACTCGCTTTTAATGCCTCATTCAACAACAAAACAGCTCAATTAGAGTCTGTGCTCTTCGCTTTCAGTTTCCCGTGAGCAAATATTACATGTAGTGTTGTATCTTCCTCTTATTCGGTAAAACAATGAGGGGAGGGCTAAGCTTCAGGATTCGGTTAGCAATGTCGCTACGCCATCTATCTGCTCGAGCTCAGATGAGGCACACAGCAAAAAGGTCCAATCAACCTTCTGTGTTGGTTGGACCTATGGGCCAAATGAGACATTGGTGTCGAACTGTAGTGAAGCAATACATTAAAGGCGATTGTCCAGTCAAATGATTCGGTTTTTATATATCTATATATTACTGTTTAAAAGTTTGGGGTTAGTAAGATTTTTTTTAAATAAATGATTATATTTATTTATAAATCAATCAAAGGAGACAGTAAAGACAAGATTCTATTCATAAAATTCTGTTCTTATACATTGTATTACAATAATATATTATAGCTGTATAATAATAACCTATTATTATTATTATATAATATACTAATATAATAATAATAACTCATATATATATATATATATATATATATATATATATATATATATTACAAAGTACTTTGATTAATTCTCAAATTAATCCAAGGAGACAATAAAGACATTTCTATTACAAATAAAGGCTGTTCTTATACATTGTATAATAATAATACGACATAGCTATGTAATAATAATATATTATATGTTATAATATAATTAATAACCTATTATATATATGTATGTGTGTGAATTATTTTCTTCCAATAATATAGAATTAATATAATATCGTTTTTGTGTGTGTTATATAATAATTCGTACTAATTCTTAATATAATATAATATAATATAATATAATCATATTTTATGTTTATTCAATCAGGCTTTTTTTCCTACTGGATGGTTTCATGATCACATTATGGAACTATATGTTCATTAGGTGACTTTAAATGTTGGCCAAGTTTTTTAATGAATCATTCATACTTAATGAGAAAATAATATTTTAAAAAGACTTATTAGTCATTACAATAACGTTATAGACATACTTTATATTATTGTATAGTGTCTATAAAGTATAAAGTTTAGAGCAAATATAACCCCCACACTGGAAAAAAATCCTTCGCCACAATTTCTTCTTTCCACAGAAAATATCAAAATAGCATAATAACAGGACACAAAAAGATTGCTCACACCCATACATAAACCAAACAAAGACTAGGGTGTATCCTGTGGACAAACTGTGGAAGTGTTGAATGGCAAGCGGTGTTCTAACATGAAAGACAAACCTCTGTAATGTGATGACCAGCACGAATGAGATGCAATACCACAGGCCATACTGACAGCTGACAGAACACACAGCCAGCTGCACTACTTTCTGCACTTTTATCTCCCTTTAATCTGCTCCTCTAATCAGATCTCTTGTAATTTGTAACTCTTTGTACTGGACTAAATCCACACTAGCAGAGAGCCAGGTGTTTCTCGGCTACCTATGTTCCTGTGAACTCACATGCTGTCAAACAGCGGCTGCAAACCATGGTGTAAATCACACAAGACACTAATTGTAGAAGAAAACATAGTTACGATCTGGAGAAATATATCATTAAGAAGAACTATCATTTTATGGGTTAGGGTCCGAGATGATGTAAATCAAGGACAATAATATGTCATGTTTGGTTCTTTGATAAATAATGATGTTATATGCTGTTCATTTCGCATCTTCTTGAAAGTTGCAATAAAGAAACGTTATGGGGGGTCGTATTGTCTAGGCCCCTCCCAAAGAGTGGGCTGGTTTTGAAAGATAAAGTCCATTATATGACAGGATACATCTATTTTCTTTTCATCAGTCCTGAGGCAAGGAACCCAGTGGTTGCACTCAGTGAACATCCCCTCTTTCCTTCTCCCTAAATCTCTCTCTCACTCTCTTTCTCAGACGCATCCAGACTTACTAGTGCTGACCCGTACAGCTGGAGGGATGCTGGCCTTTCTGAGGGGAGCTGTGCAGCCAGTGACAGTCAGCAGGGCGAAGGATATTGTCCAGAAACGGAACTCCAGCATCTACAGCAAGCCACCCAAAAGCAAGATTGGACCTGGGGTGAGTGAAACAATTACAAAATCCTAAAAGGTTGCAAAGATTCATAGGATCAGTCAAAGTTAGTTTAACTGAGGTCAATGGAGATACAAAACTTTTTTCAAGATTTATGCATTTCAATTAATAGTCAAATTTCATCAGATTAAATTAAAGAATCCGTTCATATTATGAATTAAGAATAATGAGTAAAAAAGTTTTTTTTTTCAATGAATCGTAAACTTAAATTTAAACACATTTTCTTGAATTGTGTCAATTTTGAAAAAAAGCTTACAAAAAAGGGTTTATTGGGCTTCTATATATGAAGCATAGGGTTCTTTACTCAACTCCAAAGAATCTTTTATGCTAAAAAAAGGTTCTATAATGACAAGAAAGAACCCTTTTGGCACAAAGGCTCTTTATAGGCTATTATTGATTCATATATTACATTATTCTGCACCATTTTGTAGTTATAATTAAATGATTGATTATTGAACTGTTAATATCACATTTTAATCATGCTGATTTTTGGAGGAGAAAAACTGAAATGGCACTCTTTTGTGATGTTGATTAAATACATATAATTTTCTAACCCCACATGAATTTTGTGATCATTCACATGCATTGTATAGAATGGGGTTCCAAATATGTACCGCTGATATATAGAACCTTTTCTTCTAAGAGTGTGGGATTAGCTCTGATTACTCTTTGTATTGGAGAACACAATACTTGTGTTTGGACAAAAACATAATTACAATGTCAAATCAAGTTTAAAACATTTAAAACATCAAATTTCCTTCAGATAATTAGAGATAGATATATACATTGTATGGGGTCAGTACTATATATTAAACAAAAGAAAGAAAGAAAGAAAGAAAGAAAGAAAGAAAGAAAGAAAGAAAGAAAGAAAGAAAGAAAGAAAGAAAGAAAGAAAGAAAGAAAGAAAGAAAGAAAGAAAGAAAGAAAGAAAGAAAGAAATTACTTTATTCAGTGATATGTTCTTTTAAACGTTCTATTCTTTAAAGAATCCCGGAATCTTGTTCTAAATATCACGCAGCACAACTGTTTTCAACATTGATAATAATGTAAAATCTTTATTCAGCACCAAATCAACATATTGGAATAATTTCTAAAGGATCAGCTAAAGACTGCACTGTAGAATGTTGAGATAATTGTTAAAATAAAATACAATATGGAGAAATGGCTGCTGAAAATAGTTTTGCCATCACAAGAATAAATTACATTTTAAAATATGCTATATGAAATAGACAACAGTTTAATAATATTTTTTTCACAATATTACTGTTTTTTTTATTATTAAATAGTGGTGCAAATTCTTTAGTATGTAAAGCTGTTCAATTTCATGTGTTAATCCCTTTTTTTTTCTGCAGCAAAGTTTCTTGATTATGTCGGTGTTTGCCGTTGCCCTCCTGGCCCCTGCCGGGTGGATTCTGCACCACATCCCAGAATATCGTCAGAGAGCAAAAACCCCACCATCTTGAGGAAAGCACACTGGTGTACCACAGACAGACCTGGCTGCCTCTAAAGCATTATTCACCTCCAGTGAAAAGTGTAGATCTTACAACATCACGAACAACATCACAAGTAATATAATAATAGTATGTAAAACTATACATTAATAAAATGATCCAATAATAAAATAATACAGATAAAAAATGTTTGAGAGGGAGAAATGGCCCCACTTGAAATATGATTTCATGGTGTTTAATTCCTGTGGCCCTTAAAGCCATTGTAAGCAGTGGCCCTGACTTTTTTTTCTGTAATAAAGTTTTTTTTAAAACCACCTGTTTTGATTGATAACTTGTTTGAAAATGTTTTTTTTTTATTTTTTTTTATTATATGTTTCAAATGTTCTTGGCTTGGGGGCATTGTTTAGAAGTATACACGGAATAAGAATTGCCTTAAAGGTATAGGACAAATTCTTTTATAATTAATTTAACGCAGCCTCTTGTGATGCTTTGCAGACGTTTATGTCTTTTGGAGGAGGCGTGGCTTTGGAGACGTTCTCAACACACTAAAAGTATGTGGCCTACTCTTTTTGTAAATAAAAACTACATACTTTTGAGTGTGTAGCAGAAGAGTAGCCTAGAGCTTTGGGACATAGCCTACTACTTCGTCATAACTTAGTTACGTGCATCCTGTCACCATTGAAACTGCAGTTAAAATCCTCCATGTTCAATTTAATTGAATTTCTAACCATTTCGGAGAGAAATGTAGTAGCATGTTAAGGTATGATAAGGTAAATATTTATCAAACATGCTTACTTATGCATAAGTTTATTTATAGGAAACAAGATCTACCAGACTCTTTCCAGAATTTGTTTATTCCTATCTCACATGTTCATTCATTGCACACAAGACATAGCAATAATAACTTAGTCTTACCAATCGCACGTACCACAAGACACCAATTTTATTATTTTTTTAGAGGTCCTAAGCTTTGGAGTGAGTTAAGTCCATCGTTGCAATCAATGTCTCTTATTCAGCTTTACAAAGCATTTGAAGAGTTTACTATCGCTAGCTTGATGCCTTTTTATGTTGTAGTTTTTTATTTATTTATTATTATTATAATTTTTTCCTCTCTCTTCTTTTCTAAGCACATTTGTTTGTATTGAATTGCTTTCTATCATTTGTTGTTTATTTTATTTTTCATCTTTGTTTGTGTGTTTTGTTTTTTGTTGTTGTTCTCTTTTTTTTTTCTTCTGTGATGCTTAGTCTGCATATCTCGTGAGTTAATAGGAATAGGAGTGGAACTCTGTACAAGCCTAGTCTGGCTTCGTTCCCTCCTAGCATTGTTCTGTACTTGTACTAAACGTGCTAAACAAATAAACCTAAACCTAAACCTAAACCATGTTGATCTGCCAGTCGAAGGTCTTTCAGGTGGAGACTCCTCATGTGTTTTTCATTTAGCATAATAGGCCCTAGTGCATTTAAATGTTAATGACCAAACAAAAGTTCAACTATATCATGTGGATAACATTGAATAAATAGGCTATCTTTTCATCAGGTTATATACTAATTATTAATCACTATAATCTGCAATAGCACAGCAACTACAGGTGAAACTTGAAAAATTATAATATTGTGCAAAAGTCGTTTATTTCAGTAATTCAGCTTAAAAGGTGAAACTAATATATACTGTAGACTCATTACATGCAAAGTGAGATTTTTCAAGCCTTTATTTGTTAGAATTTTGATGATTATGGCTTAAGGCTTGAAATATACGTAGCTATCTCTTTGCATGTAATGAGTCTATATAACGTAAAATGCTAGAACCAACAATTTTCAGAATACATGGGCTTGGAGATTTCGACATAGGACTCAATTAATCATTAGTTGCTAAGTAGGATGCATCCATTTTCTACAGGCTAGTGACCCTTTTCTCAAGCACTTTAGAATCCCCATTGTTTGTTTATTTTTCCAGAACAGCAGGAATGTTGAAATTCAGTCTCATTGTGGCAACATAAATGTTTTTATGTTCTAAATAAGTCCTTTACAGACGTTTTATTTTCTCAAATCTTCATAAGGGAAGCAAAATGCGTTTCTAGTCTTAATAAATATATAACAAAGGAATCTAATCTGATCAGTATTTCTGTTGCATCATAATTTTTCATCATTTAATACAATGTTCTGGGTCCTACTTCGGTATTGACTAACTAAAACTAGAGATGCTGCTAACTTAGTTAAATTTAATAGCAGCATGGCAGCAAACAGCTATTGTCACAACAATTAAGCTTTAAGTTATCACTGTTTTAATTGAGTAAAGGGAATAATCAAATGTATATTTCTCTCTCAGATTTAGGCTAACAAGTGTGATTAATTCTTCTAAAAATGGTTCTAATATAGCAATGTAAAGAGAGATCGGTTCATGATATCTCTTGTCACATATCGTTGGAAAGTCTGATTTATTCTAATGAATCAGTTTATGATAAACAGTCTTCTCTTCAATACGTAGCAATGAAAAGTCCCATGCATTCTAGTGAATAGGTTAATACCAAATGGTCTTCTCAATGAATAAATTCACAAAAATGATTCAACACTTCACAATAATTATTTATTGTGATTGTTGTTGTTGCTCGGTTGTTGTTGTTCTGTATAAACCTGTTCAAGTTTTATACTGTTACCCTAACTGCTGTTAAATAAGCAAAACTATGCATCTGATTAAATTATAGGCCTAAATTATATTATTTGATAGGCTACAGTATATACCCTATTATTTATTTAGAATATTAAGCCCTTTAGCAATGTAATTTGCAACTTTTTGTCTGCATCTAGTAGTGCTAACTACTTAAAGCAGCAGCTTGACTGTATAATTACAATACGTACATTTTACTGATGCCCTTGGCTTAATAGTGCGACACTCATCCCAGTGTCTTCATTTAGGAGAGAATTTTCCATCCAGAGAAATCCAAAATGACCCACAGTGACATGGAACAGTCAGACCCCCAAGTACTGTGAGACCTGTTGCTAATTGGCCCAGAGAAACACACAGCTTATTTTGTTAGGCTCTGTTGATTATGGAAAGTCAAGTAGCTTTATTATCATCAGTAGATTACCCATCACTAACCCATGTGTTTCCTGTTGCTTTTCAGATGCTAGTGTACAAAGATTAAAAGTGTGACGAGTGATGCTGGTGTGTATATATTTAAATCATTATAGAATGATTTAATAACGTGCACCTGATGTATAGGCCTACTGAAAAAAAAAAAAAAAAAAAAAAAAAAAAAACCCTGAATTATGCTTCCTTCTGTTTTTGGCATGCTGCAGCTGATCTCTCAAAGATTAACATGTAAATAGCGGCAATACTGTCTCTAGAGCAAACAATGTTTCCTGATATTCCCACAACTCGGGACAGAATGTTCTTTCCCTCCTGGTCACAGCTAAATAAGACTGTGCAGGACTGCCTAGCTGCAATTGCCTGCTTTAGACTAACAGCAATTGCCTGCTTTAGACTAACAGCATTTCTGTTTAATAATATCAAATAAAAAAAATGTGAAAGGACTGGATTTATTTCATATCCAGGATTGTGCATTCATGCATTACGCTACATTACATTATTTCTCAATAATGTAAATAAACAGTGATCAGGGTTAAATGTGACCAGAGCTTTAAACACGCACAATGTTGCCTTAAGGCAAGGATGAGTAAGATTGAAGATACGTGACACCAGTTGTGTGTGAGTATGTTTGTGTGCAGCATGTGTGTACGATAAATAAATGAGCTCTAGGCAAAATGCTCTCTGGGTTGTGTGTATGTTTGTATCTGTTTGCTATGAGGATGCACATACAGTTAAGGTGTCATAAGGCGCACACTTTCCCACACTCCGGCAAACTGACATTTAATTAAATTTTCTTGATTATTTTTGTTATGCCTTCACAAGATATTTACCACCCTTTTGTTGACATATATTACATATCTGTGTAAAAAAATTTATTTTTCATGACATAAAGGCCTAAAAAGCTAAAGTAATGTTTTTGAGCAAAAAAAGACTGGTAATGCAATGCAAAAAAAACAATCAGAACAAATAAAATTATATGTACATTTTTTAGGACATCAACAGTTTGACTCACTATAGAAAGGGGATAACTATACAAACATTTTCATACTGAAATTAAACTTACAACCAACTGAAGCCACACTTGTGCAAAATCACATACTTCTGGAGGTAATTTATCAAGCTTTATATAAAGTTGATTAAGAAATTAATTATTTCAGAGTACAAGAGGTCCGAAACACATTCACATGTAGTCTAGGCCTGATTGTGTTTTAACTACTGTCGTTTTGAGAACTAAATATTTGTCTTTAGTTAAAATGGGAGCCTTCGAACTTTTAATTCGATTTACAAACCCAAGAGGCTTTGGGAGAGGTTGTGGGATAAACTGAGACATACATCACAGAGCCCAAATGTATTACCATGTTTATTTCTCAAAGGTAAGACATTAAAAAGCAATAGAATCTACACATGAAACAGGTTAAAACAAGATCAAATAAAAAGGGTTACTAGATCTCAACAAAGACTGAAATGAATAACCTGAAAAAGCACTTTCATAGGTTTGTGTTACCTAAACTGATTTTTCTAATGTGAATATTAGTCAACTCTTCAGAACAATTAAAACTGAATGCAGTCATGTGATTGGGACTTTCCTGATAGCCTTGTTCAGAATGTAATGACGCCATTTTAAATTGCTTAAAAGAGAGAACTCCTGAGGATTGACTGCAATTGCTGTTTTATGACATTATAGAAGTGCCGTTCCATAATGCATATTTCAGGACACAGAGAGCCACCCATTTGGAATGGCAGGATTACAAGAAAAGTATTACAGCTATATCTTTGGGAACACAAAACCTCTCATACATCACAAATATACAAGGTCAAAATAATATAAGCTTATGAGGGCCTGAATTTAAACTGCATGTTTATTTTATAAAACCAGGAATGGCTGTGGAAAAAAGCTGGAGAAAAAGAAATATGAAAGGTTGGATGTAGCTGGTATGCTTGAAGTGTCAGGGTGAAAGACGCATTAACTGCAGTAGTACTGGCCTGCGTTGGCTCTTCGTCTCTTGCGGCTTTGCTGCTGTTCAAAAAACTGGCGGATGTCCTCAGGCGTCACCACCTAAACAAGGAAAGAGGAGGAATTTCACACTAGACTGTACAAACTTATCCTCAGCTCAACATTATTAAAAATATAAATAGTGAAAGCCTACCTTTCCTTCCGCTGCAAATCTCTGCAGATAGTCCTTCAGTTCTGTCTTCATGTCATTATATTCTGAGGAAAAATGTAAT